CCGCCACGGGCCACCGGTCACTGCCTCGGCCTCACGGGCCTGCCCCGGAGCTGAGCTAGTCGGGGTTCCCGCTCTGCATTCAGGGAGCCATGGCCTTCCCCCATCCCGGGTGGCGGGGTGGAGGTCCCGACGGTGTGTGGTGACCACGGGCGGGTGCAGGTGGCTGCGCGGCTCCCGGAAAGTCGTCCCTCCCCAGGTCCCCAGGACAAAGGTCCTAGCGATGTCCACCCCATCCCCTCCCCCAGGGAAGATAGCCCGGGAAAGACCCGTCTGTTGTGTGCACAGGTGAGCCCCTTGTTCCACACAAGGCTGCAACAGACCTGACTTTTCCATCTCTGGGTTTTTGTTTTTCTCTTTTTTAAAGTAAACATAAAAGTTTGACAGTCTGCTTAAGCGTGCCTCGTAATTCCGTTTGTCACTCTAGGCATGGGAAATACTTTTCTCCATGAATCTGATTTGTCCAGGAGTCGGATAATTTAATGCACTACGCGGCTTTCTAAAAGAAGCCTGCCTGACAAGCAGCCACTCCAGAGTTGAGGTGGACTAAAGCTGGCTTTTATTTTAATAAAAGTAAAATAAGACAAAAGGCCCTTTTGCCACCCCCTTGTAGCTATAAATTTAAAAGCTTACCTCTCATGACTGAGGTCTTAAGCACCAATACTTAATGATGCTTCTAAAGGAGATATGGACAAGCTGTCATCGAATATGAAGATGAATGACATATTTTGAAAGCGTTTCCTCTGCCCGCATGGCTGATGAGACTTTCACAATTGCTTGCTTGTCTCTGATATCCAGGACATGGGTGCGACCGTTGGAAGGATAGAGAATAAACTCTTAGGGCCCAAATATGGAAGTATAGGTACCCTAAGTAAATAATTCAGAATTTACCAGTTCAGTAAAGCAAGGAAATTAGTTTTCGTTACAGGGGTGTTTTCTCAGTAGACAGGAATAACGTACTGCAAAAATAACCAATTTTTAAGAAGAAAAGGGCGTGTCTTGCGGAGCTGAGCAAGAGCGGGGGCAATGTTTTGAAAGCTTTGAAGCTGAAATGCTTTGTGTGAATTAGTTAAGTGTTCTAAAGCTTGGGGGAATAAACATGGGGGGCGGGTAGAAAGATTGATTGTGGAAGGAAAGCCCTAGAGGAAGAGAATATTGCAATTTAGAGTTTAAAAAAAAAATCTTGAACAGGGATCAGAATTTCATGTCTTGTTCTTTTGCACCATGAAACAAAACATATATGACATGTTTCCTTTTTATTTTTTATTCTTCGACAGTTTCATGCCTGTATACATTAGGCACTCATCTCTGGAACGGTGTTCTTGAAGTTATTTAGCATGACCTCGTTTGCATGATTGGGAGTGATCGTTTCCCACTAAGATGAACAAATAAATACTTAGCAACGATATACCAGTTTGCACTTACAGTGATTTAAGTGCTGTTGAAAACACATGGCAGCTTAATCATGCAATCACTCGCTTCCCTTGTTCATTTTCTTAAGACCTGTCTCGTCTCGTGTTTCTTCTCCCCTCACCCCCACTTTTAAAGAGGTAACATTACAGCCACCCTCATTTGCCGACTTGACTTGGGAAATTGGCTTCCTGTAGCACTAACCTCACCCTTAACCAGTTCTCTGGGACATAATCTCAGATGTAACATGCAACAATTATGTCATTAAAAACAAATTTGGATCAGACATCCCAGAGGCACTACATTTAATTCCCTCTAATCTTTAGCTATTTTAAAGAATTGGAATTCATCAGTCCCTGGCCTGTCCATTAAACAGTGCTACAATTAAGTTCAACAAAACAAAGACTCTGCCTTCCAGTCTAAATGTTTGTTTTCATCTTTCTTCTTTTCTACTAAAGCTATGTGAGCCCTGCACACACAGCTTTAATCCTACCACGCAGGAGGCAGAGCTCTGTGAGTTCCAGACCACCCAGGGCTTCACCATGAAGAGCTTGTCTCAACTAACAAAGCAAAAAACTTTACTGTGAAGAATTTGTAATCTCATACACACACCCCAAAATTAACCAGACCCAGACTTCACTGAGAGAGTAGACTTCTCTAAAGCTATGATAACCATTTTGAAGCTGTGGAGAAAAATATTGGATTTTACACTTATCACCATCAAATATATATTTAATGCATTTATCCCACAAGAAAGAAGAAAGATCCATGAGAGAAACAGTTACCTGTGCACTGCGTTCATGACTCCTGTCCTTCGTCTACAGTCAGTCCTTCCTCATCACCTAATGGTCAGCCTTTCGTTCTCCTACGTGTTATCCTGTACCCACGTGTACACTTGTTTACACGTGAACATAGCTGTTAAAGGCTAGGATCAGAATAGAAGGGTAAACAAATTTTCTTTTTTCCCCTTTCTGAGACTGTTAAACCCCCTAATTTACATTCTAAGTTCTTCCATTCTTCTACAATTTGATTTCATCTTTTTAATTTTTTGTGTAATTGTAGTTATTTATTTAGCACCCTCATACCCCAGTGCCCAGGGTGGAGGTCAGGGGTCATCGCCTACAGTGTGGTTCAAAGGGTTTAACTCTTCAGGCCTTGGTAGTAAGTGCCTTTACCCGCTGAGCCATCCCACTGCCACCAATATTTGTTTTTACGAGTCAAAACAGGCCAGGGGGTGGTGGCCACGCATGTCTTGAGTCCCAGCACTGGGGAGGCAGAGGCAGGAGGATCTTTGTGAGTTTGAGGCCAGCCTGGTCTACAAGAGCTAGTTCCAGGACAGTCAGGACTATTACACAGAGTAAACACTATCTCGGGGGGGAAAAAAAGAAAAAAAAAAGTCAAAACAGTCCAGGCTGTGATAGCATACACCTTTACCCCAGCACTGGAGATAGAAGCAAGCTTGGCCTACCTTAGAGAAAGTTCCAGGACAGCCAGAGTTACACAGGGAAACCCTGTCTCCAAAAACAAAACAAAAAAATTTTCAAAAAAGACAAGGCTACATGAGATTGGATGTAGCAAATATTATAGTAACTTGAACATGCCTCAGAATACAAGAAATGCTAGCCATCTTTGGAGGCAAGAGAGGGTGTGTATTCAAACAGGGAGGAAGGCTCTGGGGAAGGGACATCTGAGCAGCATCCTAAAGCTAGCTGAGGGAGCCTGACCCGGGCATGCCACCAGCTTGAGTGAGCAGAAGTGGGTACCCGAGAACACAGAGTTTCAGATGTCTAACTGGCTCTGATTAATGATTCACAAACTGTATAGCATCCGGTCTGTATAAGGTTAAGGCCCTCCAGTCAGCCGGACCAGGCTGACCCTAAACTCACAGAGATTCCTCTGCTTCTCCCTCCTGAGTGCTGAGATTAAAGCATGTGCCACCGCACCAAGTTTCTAAAACAAATTCTAACCTGGACCGTGACCCGAGTAAGGATCAGACTCAGCTTGCACAGGCCTTTCTCTCCAGCTGTCAGCCCACCCGGGACCCCACAGGAAGTTATCACAGTGTGCTCTAGTGAGGTGGTCTAGTTTGAACTATCTGATCCTGCAGGGTGCAGGATCGTTCCATTAGCTTATCCACTCATTATAGAGTAAGCCCAGGGCCTCCCCACACTCACTGTGAAGCCGCAACCTTCTTCTTCCGCCTCCTCCTCCTCTTCTTTGAGACAGGATTTCTCTGTTACAGTCCTAGCTGTCCTGGAAATAGCTCTTGTAGATCAGGCTGACCTCTAACTCCACCTGCCTCTGCCTCCTGAGTGCTGGGATTAAAGGCGTGTGCTATCAACACCCGACTTGTGTATTCTTTCTTCTTAATGGACAAGATTAGTTAGTATCTATCATCCTAGTCAACATTGAAACTCTCTTTTCTCCCCCTTATCATGTAATATAGGACTCAAAATCAGGGCTGGAGAGAAGGCTCAGCAGTTAGGAAAAATAACTGCTCCTCCAGAGGACCTGAGTTCTACATACCTACATACATACACATACCTCCATACATACACACGTAAATAAAAATACAGCCAAGCAGTGG